CTAAGCTGTAAAGCAATGCAGCGCATTTGTGGTGATGTCGACGAATTGGATATATTCGACGAAGGACTAAATAATCGACGACCTATAAAGTTATAATTAATGAATGTCATTATAAAATCGATATAAATATAACATTGTATGTACCTCTGGACTCCAAGGGCTTTTGTCGTTTCGCATCTTGGGTGTCACTATCGTCACCACCACCAACAGCGCCTAGCATCTCCAAAAAAGAGCGTTTCATAGTCACCTTTTCAACTGAGCTAGGTGTGCGTTCGTTCTGATCCATTAGTCGCTTTAGTGATCGGGGTGTATTCTCCAGATCACGCAAGTTATACTTATGTGTTGACCCATGTGTCTTTTTTCCGAATTCACGCTCATACTTAGCATACCCTCGACATAACTCCAAATATTCACCTTCGTTTATATTCTCCGGGCCAATGCGCCAAATTTTGTGAACTGCGTCATCGTTACATGTTACAATGGGCTGATCGTGTGTGGAGCCCCATGCTACACAAGTTACCTCCACTGTGTGGCCGTACAATGCCACCAATGGTTCATCTGGATAGTTAAGGTTCCATATATAAGCTTTCTCGTCACTACTTCCACTTAGCAAGTACTTTCCGTCTGGACTAAGGCAGGATTTTATATAGAAAGTACTATTTAAGAGGCCTTTGAATCGTGCTATAGGTTTCGAGGAATATGAGCATAGGTTATAGGCGTAGATTGTATTGTCCATGCAGTTAGCAAAGAGTCGTGAACCCGATTCATCGACTATAAGATTAGTGAAGCCTTTAAATGTACTTGTGCCAGCATAAGGTAGGCTATATTTAGGATGAGGTTCTTTTTTATATGCAGTATAATTTCGCCGTAAGTCCCATACTTTTATAATGCCATCACCTGCACCACATGAAATAAGAGTGTTGGTATCCTATTGAAATATACAAGTTATCAGAGGTAACATATATATATATTTTTTTATAGACAACCTGAAAAGCCAATCCTGTAATGCTGCTTGACGTGGCATTAGCCGTCATCTTAGGTGTGCGTGTACGCTTTTTTTGTGACATTGGCGTCCCCGGTCCCCCGACATGTCCGCTATAAATGCAGTTATCTGCTCGTGGTGTTAAATCCACATTTAAGTTTGCACGGGTATCCCAAATTATAATCGCGCCATCTCGTCCACCTGTGGCAAATACAGATGGGTCATGTCTTCGAAAGGCCGCAGTCTTTACGGAACGCGTATGCCCTTCAAAGGACCGTATGTTACGTATTTCGCCGCCTTCATCCACTTGCCATAAGCTAGCCGTGTGGTCACCAGAAGCAGATACGAATTTCATCTGCCCAGGCGCCCATTCCAAATCGAAAACGGCGTTGTAATGACACTGTGGTGCATTGAGTGCTCGCTCTTCGGGTTCTTCGTTTCTTTTTGTGGTATCTTGTAGCGCTATCTTCCCATCTTCATTAGCAATGGCTAAAATATGTCTGAAATTATCACAGTTTGCAAATTTCGCTGCAAATATCGGTGGTTCTGGATTATAGTCTGAACTATAATTAGAAGGCAATATTCCACGCCAGCTGTCTTCTTTGGCCACACAAAGACGTCGTAAAGCAAAATCATATGTGAAGTCATTTGCTGAAATTTAATGGAAAACTTTATTACCAAGAACACATATGCATGAACGTGAAAAGAACTTAGTTTTATATGAGAAGAGCTTACACAGCACAATTTTCGTTTTGATGACCGATTTCTCATCGTTCGAAAGTGTACTTCTGTTATCTAACTTTCGCCTATCTACCAACAAAACTTTTTGGCGACCGGCTTTCCCGCGAAATCTTCTCGAGTTTGGAGCCAAGTCGCGCCACTTCAGCCGCTAAAATTTTTCTACACAAACAAAACTACTAGCTTCATACAATACTTACCAATGCCCTGCTGGCGATTGAAAAGCACTTGAATCCTATTCATTTTTCACTAGCTAAAAGCTACGTATTTCTTTCCCGTAGCAAATAATCTTTATTAAATAAATGCCAAGTTAAAAATAATTATTAATCGCTACTCCACATCTGCGTATATTGAAGTTTTGAAATAAAGTAGTCCATTCAAGGAATCGTCGCTGTCAGTTGTAAAAAAAAATGCGCGCAATTGTCAAAAATTGCTATTGCATTTGATAGTGTAGCCAGATCATTGCAAAGTGCAGGGTTATTCAAAAAAAAATTCTCTTATTATTTACAGGCAACTTTTAGATGAAAGCAACAATCGCCTGGTGTGCCCCTACGTATCCACCTTCTAAAGATTATCTTAAAAAAGCTGCGTTATCAACGTAATTTACGTAATGCTGCGTAATAAACGTCAGGTGAAGACCGCAAGTTTCCACTGTTAATTGCAATACCTGAACAAAAGCGTTGGGAGAGCGTTTTCTGACGCCATCTGAAACCGCTTTTCCTTGGGCGAGAAGGGGAACACGTCAACCTAATATTCACGCACGCCGCCAATTTAATGTCTCATGCACGTACAACTTGTATGGGACCAACCGAAATTGAACGACATTCTTAAGGCCCCGCCAGATAGAAATTCTGCCTCACAGGGATGCTTTTGACTGATATGCAAGTTAACTATGTGATTTTGAATAGAAGACGCCACATAGGCAACGCATGCACTGCCGCAACTGATAAAATTCGCCCAACTCTCAACTTTTGACGCACGCATTATATTAGTAAAAAAAAGTGAATCTGCCTTATCCTGAGTTTCGCCTGAAAAAAAATTCACCCGAAAATATGTCATCCGCCCATAGTAAAACCATGGAAACCAAAAGTGAAAAGTGAACCGGTTCGGAGCAAATGGAACTCATGATAAAGCGAAGCGCACATTGGCGCGATTCTGTCGTTGCGAATACGTTGCGAATTCGGCTGTTAACTTCGAATCCGCAAACGTGCGCACACTTGCGATTTTTTCGCGTCGATTTCCGATGTACAATTCACTAAATTTTCCCTTTATTTCGTGTATTTTCGCACTCGGCGTGCCCAAATCGTACAAAATACCATTATTACGAATGTTTTTATTAGTTTTTGTACATTACACGTTTTTTTTTCTTTGCCTTTATTGCTGTGACACCTTTCTTCTTCTTCTTTGACGCCTTCAAAACCCTGCAAGCCGCGTTTCGAACGCGTCAATAAAGAGGAACATTGAATGTTCGAAAAATTCGCAGCGACGGAATCGTGCAAGTGTGCGCTAGCGCTTTAAAATGTATGGGTAGCATTGTTGTAATTTTTGGGCTTGCGGATTCGCAACGACAGAATCGCGCCAATGTGCGCTTCGCTTAAGGCTGAATGGTTTGCTCAGGGACGTGAACCGGTTTTGAACCGACCCGGTTTTGAACCGAAAAACCGCTTTTTTCTATTAATTAACTGAACCATTAACCAAACCGAAATTTCCCACATATGTTTGGTCCGAACCGAAAACCGAACCACTTTCTATAAAGGTTTAAAAGTTCGTTTCAACCAATTTTCAATAGATAAATGTACCCACTTTTTTTTTGCTTTCTGTTAAACATGGTAATACCTACCATGTTTTTTTACCATGTGACAATATCAAATGTAATGGCAGCCCATCTAACTTGACCCTAAAGCTGATGCCAGATAAAACTTTGTAGCTTTGCGCGACATTTATAACTTTGCCAGCAAAGCGCCAGACGCAAAAGGTATGCCACAATGAACGCCAAGAAATCAATTTTGCACTGCTTTTTTACTCGTCAAAACTGATGTGGATTTTAGACATTTTGCTTTAAAATTATCAGCTATGTAATTGAGTTTTGTGTTTCTGCATGAATACTCGAATTTGGACCAAACAAAATAAATATTAAACCGGCTGATTGTCAAAGCGCGCATAAAGATAGGAGTTGGCCATCTTTTCGCTTCGCACTGCATTTTCATACAATTCATCTTACCTGTCAAAGCAAATCTGTCACGAAAAGCGAAGGAAAAGTTTTATGCTTTAACCATGCGCGTTGTTGCACTTGACACTTAAATTTGCGCGTTATTTTTTTGTTTTTCGAACCGTTGAACCGAACCGAAATCCCGGTTCAAAAACCAAAAAAACCGCTTTGACGAAACAGTCCAAAAGTACGACAACGGTTCGAACCGCTGAACCGAAACGACCAAATTTTTCATCCGGTTCACGTCCCTGCAAACTTTTGCTATTGGCTGCGTTTCTTTATACATTCCGGATAATCCCATTTCACAGCCGGAATAAACAGAATGCGTTTGAAATATACGTCAACATATCATCAGGAACGTTCTAAAGAATAAATAAACAAAAAAGTTTATTCCAAACGTTCAGAATGAATAAAGAAATGCAGCCATTGTATCTAAAAAATTGACTTGTGTAGACCCCAAGTACACGGCCATAAGGAACAGCTGATTTTTGTTTGCAGACGCAACACCTTAATTGCGGCGTATCTCTACGGTACGTACGCCACTTCCTTCGCATACTTTTCCGTTATTGACGTACAAGTATCCATTCTGACGGGCCTATCAGAATGAATACTTTGCGTACGTTCCGCTAAAGGATGCAACTGACAGTTGAGTAGACTGTGTGTTTTTGCATAGGGCCCTGTCACACGGTTAGTAATTATCACGATATTTGGATCGTGATCCATACTGATGGACTGATGGATCACGCACGAATGCTACATGCTCAATATTTATCGCGTCAGTATTTGCATAATTTTTGTGCTGAACGCTTATTATGACGCAAGAAAATATTTTTATTTTGTATGAATAATTTGCAGATAATGCATTCCAAAATTATTTTTAAATTTCTCATGTTAATTAAAATTTTTTCAATTTGTTTTGAAAGGTTTTAAGGAACGAGAACGAAAGCATAGCGAATACGTTTTCGATATTCGAAATATAGCCCAAAATACAATAGCGCAGTGGCAGTGGCAGTGACAGTTTTTAAAATCAGCTGTTACTGCTAATATTGGCAGTCACTGCCGTAGCAAACACAATACGGAGTTGTCAGTGACGGTTTTTTTTTTACATTCCTTTTTGTTTGTTTACATTTTTGTTGTTGCCTTTTAGGCTTCACTGACATCAACAGATGTTGGCTGCGTTTCATTTATGTCAAATTCAGCATGCGAAGTTTGCTGCGATGAAGGCAGTGGCAGTGAATTTAGAATTTGGGCTAAACTGAGCAGCCCTGCTAGCTGCCACTGCTGTGTTGTGAGTCGCTTCATTGAAAACCACACTTTCTAAAAAAAACAGCTGATTTCGAAAAACTGCCACTGCCACTGCGTTATTGTAATTTGGGCAGTGTCAAAATTCCTTGGACACACACACGAAATAATGGCAATTTTTTCTTGACCGTTTTCTTGAGAGCTGCATACAGGGCTTTATAACAAAAGTAGGTTGTGGTGAAGTTCTACCTTTACAATCGAAGACTGATACATCTCTGCCATCTTTGGTTATTGGTTCGCTATTGTGAACGATCCATGTGCCAAAATTCAAATAGGAAACGTAGCGCCATATTTCTAAAAACGAAAGACCGATGACAAAATTAAATATGATTCTTCGTTCGACCGCCTAACTGTTCGCATCGTGAATAGACGCTCGGAGTGAATTCGTTTGTGTTGAATTTGTAACGGAAGTTTTGATATTTTCTGGAAAATAAATTAATTCGTTTTAATCAACTTACATATAAACAATTAATTTCAAGAGTACAGTGAAATAAAAACGTTTAAGTAGTGAAGAGGAGTACAGAAATGGACGACATTGCTGAGGAGCCCGATGGCTCCTGGGCGCAATCAACAAACGAGACTTTAAAAAGATCAAAAATGGACAGTCAAAGCAATGCTAGTAATATTTATATAAAACCGTTAAATACAAGCCNAATTATTTATTTGCTAGGCAATGCCGTTAGAGAAGGATATAGAAATATTTCAGGTGTGGGCAGCTAAGTTGGGCTGCCCACCAGATGCAATACCTACAGAAGAAGCACTAAAATCGTAAGTTTGCTGGGCTTAATACAAAGTTATCCTTGATTATTGGGTTTTGTTATTTTAGTATTTATAAGTCACGCCAGCGTGATATGTTTTGCAATTTAATAAAACGGGTAAGATCGCGACAGGATGTACAGGTGGTGCGCGAGAATATATTAATCAAGCAACTGGACAAGCTGAAAGATCAGGTGGTACCGGTAAGTGGTGCATTTCGTCGACGAGTGGTATATTTGCTCGACCGAAACTCAAAATTTTTGGCGACAATTAGTTCACACAGAAAATACGCCTTCTCATTCATATACGTTCTCTGCTTTCGTTCCCAATTTAAAAAATAAATGTGTGTAAGTCAATTCTTTTTGAACAATGTGACGGTAATTGCCAACAGAAAAAATTGATTTGTGGTACACTGGGAGTTTGGGAATCGCCACTTTCAGGAAAACATGGGTAACTTAAGTTTTTCGTAAAAAGGCGAGTCGTTTTTTTATCGCTTTATTATTACTGCAGGCGATATTTGCAGAATAATTACTTGAACAAATTTTATTCATTTTAATACATGTGTATTTTTTAAGAGAGCCCAATTTCAGAATTTGGTTGAAGAACGTTCTATTTTAAAATGCCACTGAAAAACATACATACAACTTTTCAAGAACGCCCTATCCGAATTGAAATTATATTGAAAATACGTTGAGATAGGGAATTTTTGAATCGAAGTCTGAAATAGAGTGTTTTTGAAAAATTATCTGAGATAGGTAGTTTTTGAACTAGCTGCCAAGATAGGTCGATCTTCCATCAGGTGTCGAGAAGAGGGAGGTAGTGGTAATTTCTGCATGCTCACCTCAAAATTTATATATTTTTGGATTATGGCACTATTGAAGTAAATGAGCGGTATGTGCATAAAAATACATTTCTATTATTGTATAAATTGACTTCAAACATAATTCCTGTCTTCTATATATTTAGGACAATCCTTTTCCTAAAACATTTCAACCCGTTGGGAAAATCCTTGACAACCATTGATTGGGTTCGTCAATCTAAACGGGGTTCGAAAGTAAACAGCTACTTCTTCGAACATTCTCGTCTCTACGTAACCGGAACGACCCAGATTTATATCTGGCCAAGGACTGTCACTCCAGCAACGCTCCCCAAAAAGTCTTTGGGGAATTTGTATGCTGCTACAACAACAACAACAACGTTCTCGTTTTTCACTGCACGCGCATAGACGAAGTTACAAACATGCCAAAATGTTGCTCTCCGGACAGCGACAGGATGACAGGCTTCGTAGTGCCGCTGTAAACACAATAACATTCATTGACCTCGCTTGTTTTTAAGATGTCGATAAATCCACAATACCCTTGGTCCCACAAATCAAGTTTTTGCATTCCACCTTGTTCTAAAAAAATGACGCACATGGGAAAAATCTGCAGATGGCCAATGTTCGACATTCATTTTACCATGCTAAGTTGCGGAGTTATGCTTTTGTGAGAACTAAGAAACAAAAGAGTGGCTTTAAAAAATTTAGCTTATTTTGATTTGTAATTGTACTGTAACTGTAATCCCGAAAATTTTTGGCATTCCGATTACTTCAGTTGTAGTAATGAAATGCTTGAAATTAGTATACTGTAGTTGCAACACTTAGAATTTATATATTTGTTTTATAGAATTGCGCTCGAAGCTTTTTACCTAAAGAAATGCAAACTTTTCTTAAAATGAATGAATTAATGAAGCAAAAGGAAGACATAACAATGCGTTTGGATGAATACAGGAAGGAATACGAGACACTGGCTGTCAATATTAAAACAAAAAGTAACATTAAATAAAGCAAAATAGATATAAAACGTATATTTATTATTTTATTATTCAGACATCCAACACATTAACCTTCACCATAAGCAAAAAACTCTGAAGTCACGGGTTAGTTTATTAGAATTTAAATCCCTAGCATTGGATAAACAAATAAAACAGGAAGAAAAAAACAAGGAACGTATTACAGCCACTATGCCAGCGCGGTTGACAGCAAAAAACGCAAGTGAAACTATAGCTTTAGATGGGGTTAAACAGGCTTTACGGGATCTGGATGATTTTTACACCTTCTATCTAAATCAGGCGAGCAGTCGTAAGTTAATAAATTATAAATTTCTATATCAATTATGTTATACATATCGTCGTTCAAAGTACAAAACCGCGTATCAACAAAATGCAAAACCGCGTATGTGAAGTAGAAATTATTTTCTAGAGCGTAAAAACACTCATAATTCAAAATGGTTCTCTTTTTTTTATAAAGAAATCACATTGTTGGCTAGTATATTTCAGGACGAATGGATAAGGATTGAGCCAAGAGCTTGTGCGAGCAAATCCAATTTTTGGCAGCCGATGTCAGTTACGCGGTTTTGCAGAATGACGATACGCGGTTTTGTACTTTAAACGACGATATGTATATATGTATTAAAAAATGTTACTTTTTATATTCAAAGCAAATACCGTTCAGGAGGCAAAGGATGCTTTATGGGTTAAAATGCGAAAAACCTTTTCGAATATTCCAAATTTCATTTTTTTTAACATTATAATGCGTTTGAAAGATGAACAGCTGCAATACTTATTGTCTTTAATGAATAAATCAAACAATGAGGAATCCATAACTCATTCCATAAGTGGAGTAGGCTCAAAAGAGCCTTTATCGTCATTCGAAATTAAACTGATGCAAACGAAAGCGGATCTCCTAGGCATGGTCGTGAAGTTTTTGTCTGCCCGAAAGGAACTTATCACGCTGGAAGAACGATTCACCGATGCTTATGACCCCTTTGTGGACGAATTGCAAAAGAAAGTGAATTTATTTAATGCCAATGCTGATGATAATGTCAACGAAATCATATCTGACTATTTGGTTCAGTACAATTTGCGAAATTTTTCAAAAAGTCAAAATGATTTTATTGCTCAACAAATCGAACAGTGCAAAGCAGACATAGATTATGGAGCAAAACAATTAGAGAATCATGAGGTAAGGTTGCGCTTCTCTGTTAATTGCTACTGATTTTTAATAAATTCTGATAGGTTATTTTGGGATCCATAAAACAAGTTTATAGCGACATTAATACGTCCATTAATCACATTCAATATGAAATGCAGCAATTAGGGCAAATAAAAGAGAAGATTCTTTATTCAAAAAATATGTTGAAACGTTTATTCGATGATGTGCAAATATCCTCTGCCGTCGGTAGCGTTGCCTCCAATGTCAACAGCGGCATTAAAGCAAACTTCCTACCTACGAAACTAAAAGCTAACAATAATATGTCCACCATGGGTGATAGCTTTGAAATGGGTGGTGGAGACATGGTATTTTGCAGCACGAAGTTGGACTTTGACTCCACCATTTTGTCACTTAACTCAACCACTTCAAATATCACAGGCACATCAAGACGTAGTGTGGGAAGTGCGGATATCACACTTATGCCTGCGGCTACCAGCAGTAACTACACGGAGGGTCGTTTCAATTTGCCACCATACTCCAGCGAGCTTTGTACATTTGTCGAAATCCCATTTGAGAAGTTTAGTTGCGTAACGAAAGAATGGTGGGATATCGCTTAAAATGCATCGAAATGTTAATACATAGTAAATATACAGATTTTAACCCCTATAAATGTATTTTCAGTGCTTACCATTTGTCACCCAATCCGTTGATCGTGGATTCACGTGAGCTCTCCTCTACAATCCAATTGGCGCCAGGCAGTTTGCTGACCGCTTCAGGGGCTTTGCAGGAAGTGCGTAATCGTATCAAGTGGGCGGATTTAATTGCCCAGCATTCGCTTGATTTGAAATTGGATTTTGATTTGATTATGGGTAGGCATCGCAGCGCTGCCAATTGTTATAAGGCTTACATAAATGCCGCTATTTGATTATTTGCATTTACATTTTTTGTTTTATATTCTAGTCGACGCACAAAGCTGTAGACAAAAGATCAAACAACACCGTGAACAAATCGAAGAAATGTTGGATAAAATCGATGTAACCAGCATAAACACTAATCGAACTTTACAAAAATTATTAAAACTTTACGATTTTATACTTTCGAATCCTTTGCGTCGATATATTCCACCACAACGAAATTTCAATAATCAAACATATGCAGACTACGAAGCCGAATTTTCTATGTACTATCGCATGGCAACTGTCGGTGCTTCCATCAAATGAAGGAGTTTGCTGCAAAATGTGATTTGTATTTTATTAAATTAATGTTCGTGTTTATGTTTGAAGTAAATAGACTGTGCTTATTCTTTGAAAGGAACGAATTTATTGAAAAATCATATGCTTTTTGTAGAGTGTTAAATTACCTATAAGAATATATATCCCATTTCTATATACCTACTGGTTCAGAAGAAAATGTGTTAAATATAAAATATAGAAAAATCCCATGTGTTTTCAATACGAAATATATCACCTTGGGGCACAGTTTAACATCAAGATTAAAAGTTTTGTTTAGTCTTATATTTCGTTTAGGTCAGAGACCAAAAATTTAGGGGGCGCTGCCAAAAATACCACCAACTTGGCAAATAACGGACACCCGACAGAGTTACATAAGAACGCATCTCTACGAACTCACGGACGAGATCCGCCCGTTGCACAACCATCGGAGTACGTTGTATCAACCGCATATCGTGGACGAAGAGGTTCAGCTACCTGGAGACATCCACGTAACTGTGACTCAATTACTATATGGATACTGTAACAGGTTAAAGTCTTATTCATCCAGACTCAACCTCAATATGCATATGTCCGCATTGTGAACCACTCCTCAGACTGACAAGAGGCCCAACTGCTATAGATATCGTTTCAGGTATGAATACCGTTTCTCGTCAACTTGTCAGCCATGCAAAATCCCGCAATGTGACTATGGCCTGGTAACCATATGCATACATGAGTCTAATTAGAAAATATTTGGATGCATCTTAGAGGCAGGTCAGGCACATCCAGACCAATTTTGAGAGCACCCACCATCCTATAATCGATGGTGTTTAGAGAAAGTGTCACTAAGAGTCATTTAGAGACACAGTGATCCAGCAATCAGAAACGAAATCAATACTTTCAATAATTTTAGAGTGTGCAGACGCTGAGTATTTGAGGCATCCAGTTTCCCTAAGCCCGATTGCAGCCCTTGCTACGGCAGTTTTACTAGCAATGCCCCACTAGTACCTCTTTTACGGGCGCTAGCTGCCTAGCTATTATAGATCTCCAGCGAATTCCACTACAATACTCAATAAAAAATTATGGGGTTAACTAACGCCGTCAGCCGATAATATTTTCCACAATTTTGTAATACGCATGGGAAAAATGCCCGAAAATTTTACTAGAAATTTAGACGACCTAAAAAAGGGGAATAAAACCGCATTAGTACACTGGATGAACACAGCTGTGATGAGACCCATCCTTTTCTACGGCGTTACCGTATGGGGTGGCCTGCGCTAAACAACACTGCCCAGAGCTAAGGTGGAACGAGTGCAGAGGACGACTTCCTTGGTCGTCAGGGTTTCACTGCCCCCTACACGCACTAAATCTCTGGAAATAATATTAAATCGTCCACCTATTGGATGTCTGGACAAATTTCGGACCGATCCAGCCGTGGAGAGACCTCAAATTTACACACGCAAAAGTCCTTGAAACTATACCTCACACAGGGCAACTCCCATTAGTGTTATTTCTTTGATCTGATGCTGGAGAAGAGCTACAGAACTGAACCACTTTTGTACAATTAAAAAAAAAACTGGCTAAAACTCTGTTCTGCGTCTTGTTACCCACACACAGTTATAAGTTCGAAAAAGTGGACGATTTCGTTTATATAGGAACCCGCATTAACAACAATTGAAATACAGCGACTCCGGTGACTTTCGGATCGCGATGTTGGTAACAGAGGAAGGGTAAGGCATCCGTTGTGATGAAAAGGGCAGGCAGAGGACTTAAATTCACTTGACATTACCAATTGGCTTCAGTTGGCCCAAAAAAAACCGACTGGCGTGCTTTATTGCACTCGGCCAGAATCGTTTGCACTGATAAGAGTTAAGCTTCGACAACTAAATTAAAAGTATTTAATAGCCGGAAAAACTGAATGCTTAATATTTGTCTAAGAAATCTAATTAAAAAGCTCGACCCTTTTACGAAAATTTGTTGATTTTTTTTTTTAAATATTGCACAATATGTGCATAATTGTGATAAGTACTAGATGTCCCAAACCTTCGTAATAGTTCCCAAATATTGTCAACTAAAGTTATTTAGTCATCGAGACTAAACACTTTTCTCAGTGTATGTACTTAACATAAAACGTTTATTTTTCTTAATGCGAAAATTCCGAACTTTGACATACTTTCTGGTTTTTCTTTTCGACCCATAAATAAACATACATACATACATTTATAATTTTAATTAATTCTGTTTTATTCTATTGGTTTTTCACACATTATTATTACACTTTTCTTTTTCTTTTATAATTGAAGATGATAATCGTATTTAATGTAAGTTCTTTACTTTTCTTTTATTTACACCCAATAAGAGATGGGTCGTAGTCACATACATAAATGTTACACACACAAATGTATTTAATATAAAAATTATTCGTTTTACTTATAACAGAACTTATGTTTTACAGAGCGGTAAAATGATGTACTCGTATGTATTTAGATTAGATTATACAAAAATCTTATAGAAATTTCGCTTAGCATTTTTTCATTTATGTATATACGTATAAATACAAGATGCAAACTTTTTTCACTTAAAGTAAATTCATTATTATTTTTTTTTCATTACTAATAAATTTTAAATTTATGATCATTTCTTTTTTTTTTAATTTTAGAGACGAATAGAAAATTAGTATCTATTAATTTGAAGGAAATTCGTCACACAAATACAGTAATGATTGTGTTCTTAATTAAACAATCGCAAATCGGTCCAAGTGTGATGTTAATATAAAATTTTAATACAAAATATTATTTTGTGATGTTGTAGAGAGAGAGCTTTTAAATGTTTGAGGTGCTTAAGAAATAATTAATTGAAAATTGAATTACGGACGGGGTTGGTTGGCGATATCAACTGAAAAAATATCCACAAGATTCTACAATTTGTATGTATGTATATAAAGTAGTGCCATCAGCAGATATGTATGTAAATGGATGTTAGAGATTTACAGAGAGTTACCCATTCCTATGAAAGTAAGAACTGCTTACTTACATATGTACATATAAGCCCATATATGTATCTAGCAATCTGATATGAATGCAGGTAAATATATAAATATGTATGTACACATGTATGTGTGAAAAGTGTTTGCGGTGCGCTTAACTAAAATGGACGTTAGTTTTGTAACTTTACAACAAATGACTTACATATGTATGTAAATATGTATGTACTATGTGTATCAATAAAGTAAAAAAAATAAAATAAAATACTAAAATAAAGAATTAAGCGAATTTTTGCGACTTTTTGACTGCTGGAATGCTTTATTTCGTACTTTATCGCCTTTATATCAACGTAAGTATTTACTCTTGTAATTATTTATGTATGCATGTTTTTTTTTATTTAATTTCTGTTTTGGTTTTAAATGCGTTGATTTTACTTTTGTTTTTGTCATATCTTCTATTCGAGTTTCTATTAATCGTATGCGTTGATTCGTTTTATTTAATTCGGAAAACATCTAAGATTCAGAACTGCTCCAGCTTGCCTTTGATATACATATTTTTGTATTTAATAACTTCCCTTCCTCGGCGTTTGTCACTTTTCTTTTGTTGCCAACTCTCTTACACATTTACGAACACGTGTCTACAAGTACATATACATATGTATGTACATATGTTTGTATCAATGCGTACATATTTCTAAATAGTCCTTGTATTTATCTTGCAAACACCGCCGCACCCAACATTGCCAATAACACAAATGTGGTGGCCGCCAAGTGTTCAGCGCCGCCATAATATGCCTGCCCGCAAGCTGGTGGGCACACTGGAATCACAGTCTCGAAGAGATTGACACGCGATTCAGCTTGACCCAACTTGTTGACTGCCTTACAAACATAATCGCCATACTGACGTTTCTCGATGGTAATTACACGCAATGTGGAGTCGGAATATTCATCGGCGGTGGCAAAATGTGAGATACTGTAATGTTGGTTATTCGAGAGCTGAATGTCATCCTTCAGCCAGACAATTGCCGGTGGTGGATAAGCTTCGATGTGACATTCCAAATCCATATCGTATTGGAGCGCTTGTCCCAAACGTGGACGTGGCACAGTGATGACAGGCGCGAATTCGACTTCCACATTTATGTTGCGGCGATCACCTTTGCTCACACCATTGTCGGCGACGCAATAATAAGTGCCACGATCTTCTTTCTTTACCGATTTTATCTTGAGAATGTTGCCAACGTATGTGGCGCTATCTGGAAAAAGGAAGAGAAAATTGTTGATAATGAATTAGTAATTGCAGTAGACATACATACATACATATTTTTGAAAAACTTATAATAATAAAATATTAAAGTAGCGTAAAAAATCTTAACCATGTTCCAGATATTTGGAAGTACTCCCTTCAGATCAAGACCGTCAATACGTGGCGAAGAGTCAAACCCTGCGCGAGGTGCCCCTGCTTTTACTGAATATGACGGATATAGATGAGACAATTCGATATAACCCGTAATGCCGAGTGTCATCCGTACCGTGCTTATGGGAGGAATGGCACTACGTTAGTGAATCTTATAACGGTGGCCTCCAGATACCTGGTGCCCACTGGTTGTAAGCAGTTTGGCTCGGGTGAATGGGGGCTATGTCCGAGCTGTCATACTTTCTTACATAATCTTGGGATCAACAATGGAAGTAAACAACAAAAAGAATATATTTCCCAGGAGGGTGCTATCAGACATCTCGCCGGAGGATGAGCAGGAGCTTTTTGCCTCACCGACAAATGATGTCATGCACGGGCAGGCTCGAGAGACTCCCTCAAGCGCGAACTGGATACGAGTATGCTAGGCAACTGGCTTAAGAGCCAATAGGGCCTCCACGTAAGGAAGTATCGGCCAACAAGAGGGTGAGATCCAATAGCTCTACTACGACGGAGCGCTTCGCGAAAAGGGCGCTGACAGATGCGAATAGGAAGCCAAAGGAAAACAACCCTATGCCTAGCGAAGCGGCAGACATGCCTCCTACAAACCGCGAAGGTATGGCGAAGGCAGCTTCCTTTGGGGACGCGTTGCGTGGAGGCTGCACGATTACCAGCAACCATGCTGCTGTAAAACCCGGACAGAGGCTAGCAGAAACAAGAAAGGAAAGGCAGGAACAGAAACCGTCAGAGATGGAAATGACGAAGCTGCGGCTGAACAGCCGGAAGCAGCTAAAGCCAGCTCACCATCGCCTCCATGACCAAGCAACGTTTCCCGCCCGACCCTAAAACAGGTGCTACAATTAGCCCAATGAGGTCCTCCATGCCGTGGCCCCACAGCAGATTGTCAGACCACCACAAGCGAATGGGATTTCCGACATGCCTATGCTAAGGCTCACGAGTCTGTCGCAATTGGAAGAATATACATACATATATATATATACATACATATGTGACACGTAAAGTTAAAAGGGACCTACGGTCAGAAAAAATCGGTTTGTACTTTTTCATCAACTCTTATAGTAAACGGGCCACTCTTTCCAATGCAATAAACTTCAGCATTTTAGCTGATTAGTTTTGTCACAATTTCACTTCAAACTTAGATACTTTCACAAAAAAAAGTACAAAAAAATCAAATGTGACAAACTATTTTGAAATTCATCAAATTCGCTTGAAACTCGTTACTCGGGGGTTTTGGGGTCGCTGATTACGAATCCGATGTTAGTTTTTCAAAATTCGGCCGCTTTTCATATAACGATAAATTTCAGAAATGCTTGAAACTGTGACGCTAATTTACTCAAAATTGATACACTCCGGCTTACCATGTAGCGGAAAGGTGAAAAAACATTTATTTAATACTTGCGCCGGGTATTTAATGTTCGGCTCCGCCCGAACTTAGACTTTCTTACTTGTTTTTTGCTAAAAATTACTTGTTATACTTAAATTTAAACAAGTAATTTTTAGCAAAAAAAACCGACTTCAACTCTCATATAAAAAAAAAATAAAATGAATAAATAAATAAACAAGTAATTTTTAGCAAAAAAAAATTGACTTAAAAAAAATATATACATATATATCTATATATTTCATGATTCACTGATCGGGTCTTAACCAGATTAGTATGGGACCACCTCTGAGACACTACCTTTGCAAAAAGAATTATCGAAATCGGTTGACGTGGTCCAAAGTTATGCGGTAACATACATTAAAAAAAAAAAAAAAAAATATTCCGACGAACTGAAAAACCTCCTCCTTTTTTGGAAGTCGGTTAAAAATCGTGCTTAGCGATTTCAATACCAATTTGGGCAAGGAAAGGATGTTTGGCGCCACTGTCGGTACATTCAGCCTCCATGGGGAAACGTCCGATAACGGACTGAGGCTGATCGACTTCGCCGAAACAAAGTAATATGCAGCTAGTAAGACCCCCTAGTATAAGCCCAATTGAGTTTCTACGCTCGCAACGTTTTCCGCCCTCTCCCCCTCTCCTCTCAACTTGGTATCTGTGATACGCTAAAGGTTTTGATTTTCAGGAAATGTTACTCGTAGGATGAATCTTTTGTATTTTTGTGTGCTTCCAAACTTTTAAGTTATTGTAGCCTTGTGGGTAAAATATTTAGAATAACATTTTAATATCCGTCAATGGGTCTTGTACTCCCTTTTTCCTCCAAGGGTTGCCACAAAACGACTAAATGAAATGTAACCAAGCGCTCTACATCTGAGCTGGTGAAGAAGTGATAATATACCAACCTGCGGCTTTTAGCTATAATGGGTAACTAAGGTAGGTTTGCCCGGATAGAACTTGTCGTTTTGGTTAAAGTGTAAATTTTTTCTTCAAAGGTACATATGTATGTACATATGTCGTTTGTTGAGTTTATATATACTAAACTGCAATAAAGTGTCTAAAAAAAACAGATACCTTTTCATAAGATTTACCTAAATCGAAGTACTAGGCAGGCATGTCAAATCCTGCTACCTGAACGCAGTTCACGAAAAGGTCAATGTCCATCAGAATTCTACAAGTTGATGCTAGAATTCAAGGGTTTTGAAGATTTCACTACGTGCATACATATGTATGTATGTATGTACATATGTACATACAAATGCATGCTTAAATCTAAAAACTGCGGGATGTTGTAACACTTTTGTATTGTAAATGGGAGAGGCCAACAACGAAATTGATAGCCGTTTCATAGAGATCGTCAAGAAAAGATCCATGTAACGAATACATATATTTAAACAGTTTGCCTCGCAGCAAATGAAAAAAGAAGAAAATTATAACATGTGAGCTTGTGTGTTGGATTTGAGAAGAAAATAAAAAAATAAAGAAAATGGATAAATCAGTGTGTGTAAAAACTACAGGTGATCAGGTAGAAGGGTTAATTTTCCAGCATGATTTTTCTTATTATCTATTTCTCATATTTTGTTATATTCAACTGTTGGTTTTTTCTTTTCTATGCTTTACTTGATTATCTGCTTAGAAAATTTTAATATCAAAAGCGTTAAAAATTTCATAAATTGCAGTGAAGTGCTTTGTGTTTGTATAAACTGATTGTTAAAAACCAGTTACAGCATCTATTACTTACGCATACATATACATATCTTATCGCTTTCGATCAGTTTGAATTGTAATGTCGTTATGACGTTTTTATTAACCGAACTGGTTTCAGAATTAGAAAAGAAGCCTACTTACGTATGATAAGTTATGAAGATCCACTAACAATAAAGCCAAATGTCGATACCCCCAAATAATGATTTTTTGGTTATGGTTTTGTTAGAAGTGAACAAGAGTAGACATTTTTTATTTTCCTCTTTCTATTCCATAATTTTTCTTTTTTTTCTGCCATTACAATTTTAATTAATACTCTCCGAAAATCAGAAAAAATCACTTTTTCGGGTAATACTTAACGTTTGATTAAATAGGATTTGGTTGGCTGTTAGAAGCGTCGCCCGAGCACTTGCCCAGCACACAATTAGCGCTGAGAGGAGCACCATTTTGATGATCCTTGGCTTCGCTGGCGTCACTTGCAGAGAAAAGACGAAGTCGAAAAGCACTTGTCTTCGCTTGGTGGCATTTGGGCACAGAAGAAAATCGTTTTGGCAGTAACAGTGCCAAATAAGAAGAACAAGTACAAGTACAAGTACAAGTTAGCGTTGGACTTGCATAAATGGCCGCAGGGTCTGTTGACATTTATGGGCTTTTTGGGACAGCAAATAGACATTAGTATGAGTACCTACTCAATATGAAATGTTGATTTCACAAGTTAAAACGTGGATGTAACTGTAAAGTATGTAGTCGCTTTGAAAATGCTCACAATTAGATTTGTATGTAGTAGATCAGACTTTTTCTTTTATCTAAAAGAACCGAGTGACAAACATAAAAGCGATGAATTTTCTTACTATTACTGACATTAAGAGAAACCTTTTTAGTCACTTGAATATTGCGCGGCCTAAGAATCGGGCCTGGGTCTTGCTAAGCATCACCAGGACGTGTAGAGATGTAGTATGTTCATATTTAGCGGAGGTTGCTTACAGTGGTCGAAAAAATTATAGCCGCACCACATTTTGACAAGTTTTAACACATTACTTTTTGTTATTTAGTTTTGGTTATTTTTTATAAAAAAATAGTTCATTCTTTAAACCGTGTAAATCCAAGTTTCAAATTTTGTGCAATATTTAAATTAATTCAACAAACTTTCGTAAACATTTCGAGTTTTTTTTGTAACTAGATTTCCTAGAAAGCTTCTAAGTATGCAATTTTGTAGCTCATTGATCTTTAGTATAATGTACAAATTTCAAATGGCTGAAAATTACAGTCGATTTTTTTTAAATCTGCTAACTGAAACCAAATCGCGTAACTATAACCAAATAACGTTTTGAGAGAACATGTGTAACTTAACTCTTTTCTCAGTGTACTATAAGAGCAAATTCCTTAAGGATTGGTCATTTGTGACCGACGCATCGTTCGTGCGTTGTAAGCAGATTTAATAACAATTCCCGATTTTGAACAACTGTTCATTTTTGCGGAACAAAGTTAATACAAAATAAATATTTGATTTGGAAAAGTTGTTGTAATTGTACTGGATATACAGTATATGCATACTTCGCTCACACAAAAACATTAGTGCACCATTCAAAGGAACTTATTGCTCGAATAAACTACATAAGTAAGCTTATATCGAATAAAACCGGAATTGGGTCAATGGCGTTGGCAGGCCTTTTGTCCAGCGTGCTGGTGAACGGTTAAGATAATGGATTTTTAATGCATCCAGTTCCGCTGGCTGCCAA